ACTTAGAGTCAGTCAAATTTAATTAGCAGCCTACGATGCAGAATATCAAGTTTATGGTTCCTCTAACGTAAGACGCAATGCATGTAGAAAACCTACAACAGCCAGCTCTCACAGAACTGGTTAACTACTTCTAAATAACGATCTGTTTAAAACCAAAAAACGTGTTTCTGTAGTGGAGTATTGGATAGTCAGACAAACATCATGTGCCACAAGAAAGTTAAAATAATCGACGTTTTATTACAAATACTATACCTGAAGCCCAACCGGATGCTTTTACTTGAAGGTTTCAAAACTGAGTCCATTAACCTTGGCGAGTAAGTAAAACGCATACAAGGTAACCCAGCATATTTCCACAAGATCATAAACTTTTAAAAGAACGGGTCCATATCCTAGAATAACCTAACGTTGAAAATCTCACCGACTCAGATATGTCGGAAATCTTTAGTGCTAACTTCACAAGTCATTTACATCAAGAAGCTGCAAGCTCTAGAAAGTCCTTGTCTCTAGTGCCAGCTGATGGCCTATGGAATATTCAACCACCTTCCAGGTCAATAGTTAGGGAACTAGAAATCCCGCACTCAAGAAAGTCACAAGAATGCAACACCATACACCCCATAATCCTGAAACAGTTTCCAGAAGTCATCAGTAAATCGGTATGTGAGTTGTTCGTGCACTGACTTGAGTCTCGGAATATGAATAAGCCACCATCTTCAATCTTTAACAAAGAAGGTAAGATAGATCAAGTCTTTCCCATTACACCCGACACTACCAAAGGTAAATAAAGAACTGGTTAACGATAGAACGGGGGCATTTAGACAAGTACAAAGACCTCTTGAAGCCCAACATAGGTTTTAGAACGGCAGGTCTTACACGTCAAATCTCATAGCGTAAAACCCTCTGAGGCCAAATTGTACCACCCACGTAATTTTCCTCCAGTTCGCGAAAGCCGTTGGCACGACACAAAATACAATAATTATAGCGAAGAAGGGTTTCACATACCTTTCCCTGTCTTGACTCGGAACTGTCAGTACCGATGGAAACAGAGTGTGCTTTAGATGTTGTATTTTAATACCTTGAGTTTCACAGAGGAACACTGTTGAGGTACTGGTACCGTCCGAACATTTTAATGTTTGACCAAGTTTCTGATTGTTGTATTCCTCACCAACATACATGCTAACCTATTTTACAAATGGAATCTTCTCGAGAAACGAAAAAGGGGAAGGCCAAGAAACTGAAAACGGGCATGAAGAGGATGAATAGCAACTGGAAAAGATTGCCCAGAACAGAGTTGGTTGAAAAATGCTGATTGATCACTTGTGTTCCTCCACGAGGGTTAACCGGCGTACTTATAACGCGTTGCATTATATCATATATATGCAATTTGAACTTAACAATCATTTGAACTGCCTTTAACACTTTTTACTAAGACCATCATAGTCATTATTTCTATGCTTATTTGGGTTAAAAATTTGGGTTAATATACTAGTTGCCTAAAAGACGTTGAACGTAGTCAAGATAAAAAAGTCACCCTATTAAGATATCGTACTGCACTGGTATATAAACTAAACTAAACGCAGTTGTTAGCCAAGCGAGCATTAGAAACGAAAACTCTAGAGTCTACTACAAAAATGAACACCAAGTGAACAAATAATTCTGAATCGCAGTTTGTGATATAATCAAGCAGCTCGGGTCCACTAATACTACTAATGTCTAACATTTCAGAATCACCTAAAAAAACAATACCCATTTCCCACTAGCGAATCTACAATCAACACTATAACTAGTTATTCATAATGGTTTCTGGATATCGTCATAAAGCATCATTATGACTCGACAATCACGCAATATCATTGATAAAATTAATGAAACTATTAGCAAGCCCGGTCAATAAACTGACTTATAATTATCATTGAATAGTGTTGTTTCCTCGTGATCATCCTTACCTGTTGTAAATGAATTTTGTGTGCTTCTCTACAAGTTGCTCATTTAATAAACATCTTATAACCTTGTCGGTATGATTGGAGGTTTAAGCGACAGAATCATGCATGCAAGTCATCAGCATAAGCAGTCGAGAAAACCTCCCGCAAACTGAAAACACCATTGTCGAATTTACCCCACCACTGACAGAGGTGCATGCCATTATCATAGACATGAGTTGGGAGTTGCACTTCCATTGGTTGAAGCTTGTGTTTTTCTTGATAATCATATAGGAAGCGCTTACAGTTTATCACCTCGCAAAGATTTATTTAGCCGAAAGCATCGTACAACACCATGTTGACGATATTTGTGTCACATTGACTGTGTTGATCCTAACATCTTATAATCACTCGAGTCCATACACACTGATTTCTATATCCTCCCAAACTTGATACTTGCAACTAACTTGCATGCACCACCAACCAGAAAGTATGAATATAACTAGTTGATCTATTGCAAATCAGGACATTGAGTCTAGAGCAAGTCTCTCCGGGTGCACTCACATTGAACGAACTTCCGTCAGCTATTTGTCCAAAATTCACATTACTATCAGTATTTCCACTTATTTAATGAATTTTCGATGACAAATCATATGTATTGGTAGTACTGCTAAATGCCCTAAGAAATAACAAAGTCGGGAAAATCTACCCATAACTAAATAAACCGGATTAACCTAATGAGCTAACTGTAACATTATTTGGAATTCTTCCTCTTCTCGGTTATTCTTCTGTTCCTCCACTTGGCATACTAGTGCAAATAAAACTGAAAAACAACACATGAGGACAACACGCCGACATTAACTGACTATCTATCTTGAACCAAAGATAATACCATTAACTACGTCGCTATAATTTTGATTGTTTTAATATTCGTGCACACAAAATATTTTTACTGGCCATAAGTTAAGCTACTGACCAACGGTTACTCTTATGAATCCTAATTTGACATGTTGAATTATCTCTATACTAAATCATTCTTCATTAAGATAATCTCACCTTGTTTAACTCTTAAATAATCTTCATGTGGATCTTCACTTTAGGCGTGTTAAGAACTAAACGAAACATTTTTGAAACTACTGCATGTATTTCCCTATCAGTTGCTGCCGCGTTCAGTTTCATTGATCTTTCAGTCTATCAACACTCAGAGGATTCAACTGACTCTTTCGGTGATCTCCAGCGCGCGACAATTTCGCTCGATTCCTTATCAAACCACCGTCACGTTGACTCTAATGGAGGAGGAATGTAGTGGTATTTGTTCCCAACTACATGTTTTTTGAAGTGGAGCGTATAATTATTGAGAAGATTTACATTCAACACGTTACAGATTTAGAGAACATAAAAGACGGGGAACGCAGGAACAATTGGTCTGGATGGCATGGGTTGGCCTTTTGTGTGTGGTCATTCTGTGTAGCTTATTACTCTCCATTTCAAATATATTATTCTATCCCCAGCCCAAAGTGCTAAATATCATAATACTGACTATCGTGACAGGAATTCCGTAAAGACAATGATATTCTTTCTGTGTAAGACCTTTTAGATTAGATAGTCAAATGACAAATCTACAATTTTGGTGTATTATACTAGAAAAGACATATTTGGTAGTACCGAACAAGAACGTAATTCTACGAAACTTTTGGTTCACTCCTCCTCCTGATCCTTATTTTTGATCTTCTAGATAAAATAAATTCAGTGGCACTGGTCTGTCTGGATATTGTGAAAATATGGAGGTTCGTGAAAAGAGAAAAAATTTTACTCAAACTTCGAAAGGACGACACAGTAGTAGAGGAATAATCATTGAATAACAGTTTAAAATCATTCTTTTAAAATGTAACTCCATGAACATTCAGACTTAAAATAATAAATAAATGGCGTCCTCTATGGAAATTCGCTCACAGGTGTCTCTTCAGAGCGCAGTCCAGTACTGGTAATCATATAAAGCTTGAACACCGACTAAAAATACGTCGGGAATCCTGAGCAGGTAAACGTAACTCTTCACTTTAGTAGAAGACAGCTGAGGGGAATATCTCACAAATATGGGCCTCGATACCTCAGATCATCCTTATTGCTAATAAAGAATGATCAGATAATGGCACACAAAATACTGAGTACTGCAAGTCACCTTAACATAAAAAATCTACCCAAACATCAGCATCAAGTTCTTTGAGGCTACCCAAAATAACTTCACATCGAGGAGTAGAAACCCGGGCATCTCACAACTTCTTCTCATCAAGAGTTGCCTGAATTTGGAATGCTCCTCCAGTGGATAACTTTAAGACGAGACTTAACAAAACCATAAATACCTAAAGGTGTCACAAATATTCTGGGTTGGACAACGCTTCTGTCTGTAACGCCTTTGTAATAGAAAGATTCCAACCCAGTCAAACTAGGAGTCAGGAATGAAGGAGTTCGAGATCTGTCGAGAAGTGTTTGACCTAAGCTGGCAAATTGTTGGGAGGGATCCGCAACACAAGGTACCCAACCATGATCTGGTGCGGATACGTGACCGAGCCCCTCGAGCTAGGATGTGTCCAGAAAAACTAATGGGGTCAGTATCATTGCCGAAGACTTTTAAAGAGTTATTAACTGCTAAGCACTCATGGACTACCGTCCCCCTCTCGGACAACCTGTACCTGATGCATGCTCCATAATTTACCACGGTTATTATCAACGAATATCAGTACCTACACCCTACCTCGCTTATTTTCATCCCCGTTTCCCCTTTTATTCTCATACTAAGTCTCATGCTGTCTGCATTACCAGTTAACTCATTTATTTATTTCTTGAGACTCATTTTCTCTTAGCATTCTGATTTCTTTATTATTCTTCACATTGCATACAACCAACCTCCTGTCTAGTAATGTACTGACTGCTGATATCAAGAAATCCTACTGCCCTAAAACCAATGCACTCACACAGACTACAATGTAAACAAATCTATGAATATTTGCCAAAATGACTAGAGTTATTGCAGTTGATTCTCTAGACTGTCACCAATTGTATATTAAAATATACCTGGAACCTTACAAAGACAACAAGAAGCAAGGACAAGGAAATCAATCGGTTTATATGAGCTCATCACAAGGATATTGAATATTGGATATGTAGGAGGCTGCTTTCCAGTCAATACTTACTCGATTTGTTATGGTTTATCAATCCATTGACCTATAAGGTCGATGTACAGTTTCAACTCTTTAAGATGCCGAAGGCAAGATTCTTCAAACCAAAACGTAGTGACATCATTAGTGAGATTTCAAGTCCCACTAACGTTGTTAAACATGTACATGTTACTTACGACCAAGAGACAGGGCAGTTCCATGGGATACCTGATTACTGGAAAGAAATGATAGACAATTCGAATTTCTCAGTCGAAGACCGAAAAAATAATGCGGACAAAATTCTTAACGCTGTGACGGCTTTCAAAGAGTCTCAAAAAACTAAGTACTTGGGTTTTGAGGGCTTGGAAAGTGTTGATGAGGGTTTGGTTGTTTTTTTTGTTACACTAGTTTTTGTAGATGATGAGTTGGAAAGGAAAATGCGATTGTTTATTTTGAATCCAAAAGAAGAAAAGAACAGTACGAGTGCCGCATCATCTCATCCAAAAGTCAAGCCTGCCGTACATGTAAATGAAAGGAAAAATGGTGCTCTCACTCCTCCTGTACCTCCACCAAAGCCATCTGCCAGTGATTCAAATAAGGTTTGTAGCTTTGAATTTCAATGCTTATCATTTTGTAGCAAGCAGCCCCCTTGCTCCGCAAACGTGTTCGCAGGAAACTCACAGATGAGGAGTTCTATTCAGAATTAGGTCAGTACCACCTCAAAATCTTTTTAACTGTCAATTAATTTCCATTTGATTTGTTTTCACGATTATTTAAATCAAAATTATCAGATTTATGTATTTCGAAACTTTATTCTAGATTCCGTAATAACTCCCGGAAACCCTCGTGATGTGTATTCTATCGAAAGCGAACTTGGTACAGGGTATGTACCTATTTATTCCTTACAGTACTGTTGCTAACATATTTTCGCTTTTGAGTTTTTAATGTTTGCAATGTGTCTGAAATAATATTTTTCGCGTTTCTTAGTAGACACTCGAAGACGTTAAATGTCACCAACTTCACAGTGCTCCGTAACGTTATATTTGACAAAAGTTTAGTCCACTTGCTTCTGTATGAACTATATGCAGTCTTTACTTGGAATGTGAGCATTCGATAATAAAATAAAGTGTTTTAAACGTTAAAATAAGGCCTTTGAGTGACAGTTCAGCCGACATATTGCTCCACTATAATCTGTCGGATTCCCATGTACTTCTTGGCCAGTCAGTTAGTCACACAACGTAGGACATGGCTTACATGTGTGTCAGTTCAAGTTGCCCCACTACAGTATCATAGCCATATGCAATTTTTTATACAAATCCAAGATTTATAAAAGCAGTAGCAGTAAAACAAACTAGATGTGGACTATGTAATTCGAGAAAAAAGAGTGATTTCCTAGAACAAAGAATTATGAGGTTGGTAGTGGCTTGCCATACGTAATATATATTCCAACCGCAATCCACAAAGGTTCACTACCTCTCTAACCGATAAGTCTTCATCTTTTCTGCTCAATCATCCCAACATACACAGGCACTTCTGATCAAATTCTAGTAATGTATAAATTGTCTGTGCTTCTAAAGGCCACATTTCAAAGGTATAAAGTAAAACAAGTCGAGCTACTAATTAGTATATTCATCCATTTGTTAGTAGTTGAACATCCCGTCCACGCCATAAGTGATACAAACTGTCGGAAGCCGATCGAGCGTTTTGAATCGTTGCCGAAATTTCGACATGCATCAGTCCACCAGGTTTGACGAAAATTCCACGACAAGCGAAGTGCTGACGCGTTTAGCTGCCCCACAACCTACCATTGATCCAGGCATTAATCTATACCTAAAGCAAAATTTTGCATTTGAGAGGAGAGAATTACATCCCAGTCACGCTTGCATTGTTGCCCATGGTGTCCTGAAAATCGCATATTGCCAGCGTCCTCACCAAGCAAAACTGTGTCATTTGTATATTTCACTCAACAAGTAAGTTTGCTAAAAGGAAAGTCGGACGACTAGAGCTTTATCTCTGGTCAAATATGTTTGTTGAAGTAAAAAAAATAGGGAAAGTAAACAGCTCAATTGGACACCACTTGAGGTTGATAAGTCTGTTAGTTTAAGTTCTAAATCGACCATTAGTGTTCGAGTTCAGATCATGTACACGGTTGGTATACTTCTTTGGTATGCTTTCAATGATAGACTGCCATTAAATCTGTCGAGCAACAGAGTCAAATGCTGCTCTAGGTCCAATAAATATAACTATAGGTGGGCGTTGATCAGTATTCCTGTGTTATGGGACTTGAGTGAATTTTTAGTCGGCACTTCGATTTCCAGGTCTGAAATTAGCCTGGTTCGTTCAGGATGGTCGGTAGCTACCGACAAACTTAACAAGACGGAGGATCTTAAGTAACTCCAATCTCTAAAATCCTACAACTAGGCCCAGATTGCCTACCCTCGACTACGTTTAAAGATGGTGGCAAATTCTGGTCTGGAAACTGGGTTATTTGGAAAATTTTGGGGAGTGGGAAGTGTTGTATCACTTTGGGGTGTGACGCTCGTCGTCCCTATTTTCAAAAGAGTCAACGTAATCTATACAACAGTTAGCAAGGTCTAAGTTTGCGTGTGGTTGCCCCCGAACTGCTTCCATCCGTCATGCTTCGCTCATTGTTCAGAACCCGCGGCAAACAGACTCACAAGAATGGGAGGTTTTGAAGACGATAGCTATCGGGTATAGTTGCCTAACGTCCTGAGGTCAGAAGGGTCATGTTTCACTAGCGCAGAACAGAACTCTGTTTGGTAACTCAGATCTTTTACAGTCAGACTAGCATCAAAACAGCCTCAGAGATGGCCCAAATTGGTATAGACTGCTCTGGTTTCACTATGCATAGGTTGATCGCATTTACTACCCTAACTCTCAAACCTACCCAGAAGATACGTAAATTTTTCTATTATTTCAAATTGTTTACTATAAAACGTTAGTATGAAAACCGGCTTCTCCCTGACTTGCCAAAATACTTTGCTTTTCTGAAGTGATAAATGTATTATGAAATTTTGGACGCACTGTAGAATGATTAAATGCAATTTGGATAATGGGTGCGTCATCGTATTAAAATATATCATCTGCCTTCACCATAGGTGACGTAAGTTGGCGAAAGCCAAACGAGCTCTTCGAATCGTGCTGAAATTTCGTCAGACACCAATCCATTAGGGCTGATCAGACTTCCAATATAAGTGAGGTTGTCAACGCGTTCGACTACTTCACTCCCTATCCTTAGTTCAGGTGTTGACGCAGACCAGTCCTGAAGCAACAACTTGCATTTCGAGGGAGAGAAGCTCATTCCAAACATTCTGGCATTGTTGCTTAGTGCTACCAGAAGACTCTGCATTTTATCAGCGTCTTCACCAAACAGGACTATGTCATCTGCGTATTCTAAGTTGGTCAGTGCACCTCCTGGAAGTAGATCAACACCTGATAATTCAGTCGACGAGAATTTTATTTCCATCAGTAGGTCTATGATGAAGCTAAAGAAAAGTGGAGAAAGTGGACAGCCTTGACGGACACCACTTGAGGTTGCAAAAGCAGATGACAGTTCGCCATAATCTCTCACTCGACTAGTAGTGTTCGAGTAAAGAGACTTCACAAGGTTTATGCACTTCTGAGATACGCCTTTCAATGACAGACACTTCCACAGAATCTCGCGGTCTTCTGAGTCAAATGCTGCTTTCAAATCAAGAAAGACCACCATTGTAGGACGCCGATAAGTATGCCTGTGTTCTAGAACCTGACGAATGGTGAATATGTGGTCGATGCAGCCACGACCGGGTCTGAAGCCATCTTGATTCTCTCGTGTTTGCAGTTCACAAGTCTCAGTTAGGCGTCCGATAATTATCGAGGCTAGTATTTTAGATGATATGCTAGTCAAATTAATCCCTCCATGGTTATCACAACATGACTTTGATCCCTTCTTATATATTGGAAAAACCAGTGATCAACCTCGTTTTCATAACTACCTAAATGTGACCTCAGTTTTTCCTGGAATCTACTTTTGGTTCCCTCGCTAATCAATTCAGTTCTAATGGGTCTTCTTAATGTGGTTTTCCTGCTTCCAGAGAGGCGCAAACAAACGCGTGCTCGTATCGGAGCATGATTGGAGTTCGAATAGATATTTCAGAATGAGCAACAATCTTCTACCGAGCCTCTCCAGTGATGATCGATGGCAATATGGTCTATTTGAGTTCATCGTTGGTTTGGTGCAGGGAGTCGCTATGTTTGACGATGTCTCTCCTTATGCCTAAAGTTGGCGCTTGCTAAAAATAAGCGGTTGTATGAGCACAGTTGCAGCAGACGATCACCGCTATTTGTTCATTGTTCCGGAATACTAAAATACCCACCTAAATGCCTTTCTGTTTGGTTTAAGTTACCAACTTGGGCATTAAAGTCACCTGCTACGAGTACTATGTTTGATCTTCTAGCTTTCTGTAAAATTCATCTTTCACTTCATCCGAGCTGCAGTCGGTGGGAGCGTAGGCAGAAACGACAGAAAGGCAACGACGTGTGTCCCTATCATTCCGAGTTCTTACATAGCCGTTTAGCTGAACAGCACATAGACGACTGTTAACGGGGATCCACTCCAATAGTGCTTGTTCTGACCTCGTATTTAGTGCTATTCCTACACCTGCCAGTCTGCGAGAACTAGTCATCGTGTCGCCAGATACACGGAGGGTGTATCTCGTCAGCTCTCCGTTTTGGCGAGGTGAGGTCAAGTGAATAACCACATTAGGATCGTGTATGCTTGTTTCGGAGACACAGCATACATCAATGGTTCGAAATTCCGAGGTTTTAGCGAAGGAGGCCTGCTGACCGATTTGACATATGGTGCGTATGTCTTCGGCTCCAATGTGTAGTTTGGAGCGGGATTATTTTAGTAGACCTGTGAGAGTGTTTTGCGCACTAGAATCGTTGGCTATGGTGACACTTGAGGAGGAAGCCAAAAGAGGGAGTTTAGCGTTGAAAGTCGATGTAGGAGGAATAATAGGAATTGAAGTGGGAAGTTGATTATGAATACAGTGGTGTTGAGTGCTGTTAGAGGTATGAGGGCGGTTATCACTTCCCGGTTGCCCACACCGTGGATGGGTTCTTCTGGAGGTACCTGAGAAGGAAATTGAATTAGAGGTGGCCTTAGTGACCTGGAAGCGTGACCGCGGTGCCTAAGGGACAACTGCTTGAGGTTGGTCACACACGACCTTTTTGTGAGTAATCTTCGTGTTAGTTCTATACTTGTTGGGACCGTACCGCCGGGTACGGATCTCCGTGGGATAAGGCGAGGTGTGCAGTTTTAGGGTCAACCTTTTCTAACCCCACTCCTACTTGTGGGAAGGCAACAGCGCTATCATTCTGGTTGTCTGAAGGGAACACCTTACTGCTGTCACCTCTGTACAGTCAGCAGTACAACGTCGCTCTCGGACCTCGGGTTTACTGCTTTTAGACTTACCGCTCTTCAAACGACCTGTCTGGTGTAGTAGGATCTTGAGAAACGATGTTTCAGCCAATATAGCTCGATTGGTTCATGGTGACAGGCAAGCCCGACCACCACGTCAAGGTAGCAACAACGGTCGGGCCAGCATTAATTTAGTCATTTATTAATCAGTCTACTTCCTACTTGTTCTTTAAATCTATTTTTTTAAATCTTAATAACGACAGAAGCTAAACTACGGTGTTCAATTTCTTTATATTATGTTAACTTTTCCACTTGTGATTCCAATGACTAATTCGAAGCAAGCACTCAGCAATACTTCTAAATTTTGAGTATTTGAGCATTACCATTTGTGCGACCTGTGCTTCTCAAACCCCGCTAAGTCACTACAGTCTGGGTCCATAGAAATCTGATCCCCGGGGATA